TGTCGGTTCAATTCAACACCCCTCTGTGTCGATCGACGCATACACCAAAATTCTAAATTTTGGTTCACGGGTGTTACATGAATAACAGTGGATTCGTGGTATTTTTCGAAAATAATTTCAGATTATAGTGGTTTGAAAAACTTCTGGAAGCCATTATGGCATTCCTGTAAAAATCTTTTAGAAATATACCTTACACTATCTCTTTCGCTACAATCTAAAATGTAAAGCAATACTCACAATTAAATGAAATTTTCTTTCCAAAAATATCATCATTTTTCAAATGTTGAAAAATTACTATTTTTTAAATATTCCACAAATATCAAAAAATTAAAATTAATTTTTAATATTCAAAACCAAATCCTAAACCTTACGTCTAAACCTTGTTCCGTAAAACTATATCATAATTTAACAATAATTAATCTAAACCTCAAAAAGTTAAATTATAAAATTTTGAAAATTAATTTTGTATTTGTGATATTCGTGGAACCTTTGAAAAATAGTATTTGTGAAAATAAAACTTAAAAATGTGTTCTACTTGAAATTTTTAATAACAATAAAATAAGTTTGGCTGAGAAAAAAAAAAGGAACTTATGTGTTGGAAAGAAAAAGAGATACCTTCTGAGATTCAAAACCCCTTCCAGAGAAGCATAATTTCGATTACAATTGGTCAAGGTGTATGAGCTGCGTTTGATGGTTGTTTTCTGGGTTTTATACTCAGTCATCAAAGAGCAGTGATGAACCAAGAAACTCCTCCAAATCTGTACAACAAATGGAAGCAGAGAGAGGTCCTTCTTATTCTCTTCTACGCCATCGCCTTCTACGCCTATACCATTTGGAAATCGCTTCGTCTCTCCCACGGTAACTCCAATTTTCGCACAATAATTCTTGGGTCTTCATTGTGATTTGGTTTTGGTGAATTGAAAACTTTGACTTTAGATCACTACTTCAAGCTCTACGGTTTGGCTCCTGGCTGGCTCATTCCTAATCGCCGCAACGTAATGCTCTGATTCCTTACTATTCTATGGGTTTTATTACTTTGAAGCTTTTAATTTCTGTTTGGCTGTAGGATGTCTCCGATGCTCAATGGAGGAACTTCCGTGGGAATTTGCCAATTCTCAGCTTTGTTTTTGCGATTTTCACTGTGATTGCAAATGGTTTTAGGTCTTTTTTCCATTTAAAAGCCAAAGGAATGGCCATCTTGTGGCTTTCCTTGTCACTTTTCTACTTGATCTACTTACATGGAGCTTGGTATGTCTGATTGCATCTCCTTCTTTTTCTGTTGCTTCCAAGATTCACATTGTTTCTTGGTTTTTTCTGTGTCTTTAGCTGAGTTATTTCTGTATCTTCTTCCAGCGTCATTTATATTCTCTCGATTGCAACGGCTAATTTCCTTCTTGTTAAGGTATGCTCCCTTTCAAATTGTCCTCTTGACATTATTCTATGTAAATCAGTAGTTTGGATTGTAAGAGTCTATCTTCATCTTCTTGTGAGATATAAGCCTACTTCTCAGTTAGATATTTTCTGAGCTCATCATAACAGACTAGATTTACATTATGCAGGTTTTTGCACGGACCAAGTACTTCCCTTTCATGCTTTGGGCGTTTAACATATTTTTTCTCTTGTGCAATCGCATTTATGAAGGATATTCATTCTCCATTTTTGGGTGAGTATTGTTTTGACATATATTTGGAGTTATTGTAGCGCGGTAAAGTCTAACACATTGATTATTCTTCTCTTTCTCCAAGGCGGCAGTTCGAATTTCTGGACAACTTTCGGGGCACATTTAGATGGCATATATGCTTTAACTTCGGTATATATTATATCCCATTACCCTTGACTGAAAAGTTCTCTATATCAAGTCATACAATAGCATCTTGAGGAACATAATTTCACTCGATTGCTCATTTATGTTGTATGCAGTTGTTCTGCGCATGATAAGTTTTGGATATGATTATCACTGGGGTCAACTGGATTCTCATTTTGATCAGGAGGTGCATTACCTTTCATGATGCGGCTCTTTATGCGATATTTAAGAAAATTATCAGAGAGAACGGAGCATGTTAGATAGGAAGACAGATTCTCTCGTTAATTTCGGAATAGGTGTTTATGATAATTTGACATTTAGTTTGGGAAATAAAATATCATCCCCAAAATCATTTCCATCTTTTCTCCAGGCATATATAGATACGAGCTGCTGATATTCTTATTTGCTAATTAAG